GTACATAGGGCCGTGCCTAAGCATAAGTTCGTCTTACGGTTGGCGGTCCGCACATGAACAGCAAAAAATCCTCAGAAAAGTACTGCTTCCTGCTCATCTTGATTATCGAATGATTTGGATGCTAGTAGTATCAGGAACTAAGTATCCATTTGGGGCGTACATGAGACCCAGGCATGTTTTAAAAGTTCAAACTGAAATATTTCGGTGTACATGGGCACAGAACATTCTCATGTGGTTTCAGTTCCCTAGTATGTCCAGCTGGCGAATTCGCTTTTTGTTATGCGAAATTTTAACATATCGGTATTTTCGACATAGGCTTGCGCTAAAGCTCATTTTGCGCATATTTACCCATTCTAGCACAGATTATAGCGTTCTAATTAATTTAGTTCCTTAATTACCATTTCGCCAACACGATTGCGAAATCTCAGCTTTGGTGTTTCCGTTTACGAGATGTATTGCTTGTGTAAAATTCGAATTTGAAGTCTTCAGGTCACACATTGACACAGAATATCTTTGCGGAATTTTGGCTTGCTGCCTGTGGTTATCGAGCTCGTTTTGCCATCAAAAAACATTTTTACGCATCTGTAGATGTGATCCAGCGTAGGCGAATAATATAAAACGGGAGATTCGCATGGGGTGGCACATGCTATCGAAGTTTCTGCTTCCTAGCTTCTCTAGTTCTCCAATTGAAAATGGGTGACAAAATATGCGAACTTTCGAGGACACATACACACACCCACAAATACATATGTACCCGGTAATCTAAGTGAGAGTGCGGGGATGTAGGAAACTGTTTTTCAAGTCTGCTTTGCATCGCCGGGTTGGTTTGTCCTAGTCTTGCCTTTTCGCATTACGCTTAAACTGCGAGCTGAAGCCTGGGTTAGGCCCGCTAGCATATCCGTGAATGTGTGCGGAAAACAAGGTGTATACTGCCCGAGTCCGTTTCTCCCATTGATTGTTATTGCTGTGCATTTGCAAATACGCACAGAAACCACTTGTATAAGGTCCATTCTGTGGACTGGAACAGAGGAGAGAGGTGGAGAACTGATTTTCAACGCTCTTTTCTATCCTGGCGCGGGACTGCCCAGCTGGCCATTATCCACTGGCGCTGTTGCTGTATTTGGTCTGTATAAGGAATGATTGTTTGTAGTAGTGGGAAGCACAGAGGCTTGCTCCCTCTGCTACAGAAAGTGCGGGTTTTTTGTTGTAGAGTGAATGATCGTATATTATCGGCGAACGGAGTGTCGCTGGATAACGCCGAATACGCGGAAGCAGTGAAGATCATGAAGGAATCGCAGCAGCTGAATATGGTGCTTTTTCCGTTTTGGAAAATTTTTTGTTCCTTTTCCGGTTCCCGCCAGAGCAGTTTTGATGAACTGTTGCATCTGGATTTTACAACTTGGGAACATGATGGTGCAACATTTGAATGTGTTGTCCGCCAAAAAGGAAGTTATTAATAAGGTGTTATCACGGAAAAAATTTTCAATGCAAAAATGGGAATCTCTTCCACGAGTCATCCCCCTCCTAAGTGAAACACAGAGTTATGTAAATTTGAGATACAAAAAGTTGTTAAAACTGGTGGAACTTCGGCTTACTAGCTTTATCTCAATGCATTTTGAATGTAACCATTTAGATCGTCAAACGAAGAGTGCCGGTCCCTCTTATCGAATATGAACAGCGTACGCTCAAATTTACGCTATCGAAATCGCGAAAAAAGGAAGGTCTGGCTACGGATATTGATACATTTCATGTTTTTTGCAGTTGATCTTTTGGCGAAGTTCTCCCGGGCACTAAAAAGCTGTCACATGTTGTTTGATGTTTCTCTGTGTCGAGATTGCTCGAAGCTAGCTGATGGCGGTAGACTCCTGTCAGACGGGCACTCCAGTAAAAACTTATTACCGATATGGAAGGAAAGACGTCGGTGGGCGGGGACGGTTTTTTATTAGCACATTTAACAAACCGAACTTCGATGAAGCGCGAGAACTCTGCTACAAAGCACTTCACCACTTCGTTCTTTCAAAGGAATCATCACAAATGCAAATTCAGGCCAATTCAGTGACTCTAGAGTGTTAACAGCAAACTTGAGGGTGCAAAACCGTTGATTAGCTCTTTTCACGGTGATTATGCATGCTGAAAATTGAGACATCATACGGCCCTATTATATGCAGCATTACTGCCCCAGCCGTTAGCCGGTGTCTTTCAACTGCTCTTTTAAACTCGTCGTGACGTTGTGAAAAATAAGCAGCTCAACAGCGGGAAGATATCCTCTACCCAACAGGAGACAGGAGGCTCATTCAGTAGGAATAACGTGTTGAGTGGGAATAACTTGGATTCTACTGCACAAAAAATAATCAAAAACTAACCAAATAAAATCTGCGCTCGAATTCTGCTATTCCTCTGCCCACGTTGTTCAGGATTGCTGACGTGAGTTTTTATCTTTGGGTCGATGTTTGTCCTGGCACTGAAATAGCGGATAGATTTAGACTCCAAACGATTGGTGACTTCGCAGTTTAATATTTGTAAATAACTGGGCTTTCTGAACTGGCTCATGCATTGGCTGTTTTCCGGCAGTTCACTGACAGTGCTGTGTTCCAGGAGTATCTTTATAGGGTGAGAAAATGGATGGTTTCTTTCTGGTGCGTTTTGACAGCACGGAAAAATCGGAGGAGTTTTGCCATCCATCATTGTTGTTGTTTTTTCGAAAGCACTGTTTTCTTTTTACAGATTTTGGCATTATTTTGGGTTGTAAATTTTATATCAAAGAAATCACAAATCATAAGCTTGCTGAAAAGGATCCGGGTTTGCGTGAAGGCGACACAGTACTGCGAATAAACGGACAGTCAGTAGAAGGGATAACAATTGAAGAAGCAACAAAATGGCTTTCAAAAAGTCGCGAAAAACTCTCTCTAGTGGTTCAGAGAGATGTGCGTCGCGATACCAGCCGGTAATCCTTGCTCTTTTTTATGCGCCTTACGTTGCAACAGCATTGCAAATTGCATACTACTGAGTCCCCATTTGTGTGTCTGTTTGTCTGTATTTGTCATATATTTATGTGCATATATTTATATTTGCATGTATGTTTTCGGTTTTTTCGGGGTTTTCAACTCATTGGACAAGAAAGTTAGGAGCATATCCCCTACGCATGGCGTAAAGAATAAATTTATCCTAGCGCACGTCTACTTCTCATTTACGAACACGTGAAAGTTCTGGCGAGACTTTAGATGGTGAATGAGGATGGTCTTGTCAGTGGAAGATCCCGGAGATTTAAATCCTGCTTCTCGAATATACCTATAAAAAATTTTGT